TGTTTTTCTTTGAATACTTCTGTCTAGATTGAGTTTTGGGTGGTGTTTCCATGTATGTCAATTTCAGATTGTTATCTGTTGCTGTTGATTCTTAGTCCAGTGAACTCTCTTTAGTAATATTTCCTAAAGTTTGTCTGGTTATTAAGGTTTCTTTTAATTTCTGTTTATTTTCCATTTGGAAGTGTTCTAATTTTATTATCCTATTTGAGGGACGTTTTGCTGGGCATATGCTTCTGTTAGTCTTACTGATTCTCCTTTGTAGCTAACTTTCCTTTTATCCTGAATTGCTCTCAGGGTTCTTTCCTTGTCATTGACTTTGGAGAGTTTGATTATATTATGGCCTGGTTTTTTTCTTTTGGGGTCTATCCTGTTTGGTGTTTGTTCAGCTTTCCTGATTACATATCTTCTCCTCTTTCATTATGTTAGAGAAGTTTTCTTCCAACAGTTCTTTGACTATTTTTTTTCTGTGGTTTTCTTTCTCTCTCCCTGTTCTTGAATTCTGATTTACCCATAAGTTTTTCCTCTTCATGGTGTTGCACATGAATCTTAGATTTTGTATTTTTTCTTTTTTCTGATTGTTCTAGCTTACTAGTTTTGAGAGATTTATCTTCAAGCTCACTAATTGTGGCTTTCTTTGATTCAAATCTACTCCTTTATCCTGTCAATTATTGTCTACTTCTGAAGTCTTAATATTAATCTTTTAGAAGTCTATTTACAGGTTTTATATTGCCTCCAATTCTGTGTTTGTTCTTGTAGTGTTTTCCTAATTTTTTCCTTGTTTTCCGTGACCTTTCTATCAATCATTTGAAGGTACCTAAATATCATTTTCTTGAGTCTTTTTCAGGGAGTTCCAGTGACTTGTTTCCCACAATAACATTTTCTTTCTTGGCCTCTTAGTCACTTGTTTGTATCATTCTGTCTTGTTTCTTTCTGTGAACAGAAATTTTCTGTTGCTTCTGAGACATTTTGATGTCATTGTATTTGTATATAATTGTACGTTGATTTGATTGGGTGTGATGGAGAATGGGCGCATATGTGCTGTTCTGTTTGCCATTCATGCAGCTCAGCTTAGGATGGGCGTGGCTGATGTTGGCTGTCATTGACCAGGTGGATAACAGCTGGTATTAGTTCTTGCCCAATGGACAGGGTTGCAGAGGGTATGGTCATGCCTGGGCTTTATGGGCTTGGATGTTTCCCCCCCTTGGGTGGGGCAAAAAAAGAAAAGATACATATAAAAGAAAAAAAATGAAAAATGAACCAAGCAAATAATATCAAAAGCAAAAAAAAGCCAAAAAAAACCCAACTCAGGACAGTTAAGGAGAAAAATAAATACAGGCAACAGCTAAAATAAGAATATAGTAACTGAAAAGAGAAAAGAGGGAGAGGAAAAAAAGCCACAGAAGAGAAAATAAAAAGAAAGAAAAAGAAAACGTACTAAACGCAATTAGGGAGAGGGATGAGTAAAAGAAAAGAGAGAGCAAAGAAAAGTCAAGTAAAGAAAAGTCACGAGCAAAGAAACAACAGGAAACAAAGATGAAGAAGTGGGATGGTTGTTGTTGTTGTTAAGTGCTGTTGACCCACAGTGACCCTGTATAGGGTTTTCAAGGAGCAGCTGCTGAGCTTGAACCACCGACCCTGTAGTTCAAATGACTTTGCAGTCTGATGCATTAGTCCACAGTGCCACATGGTTGTTGTTAAGTACCATGGAGTTGGTTCCGACTCAAAGTGACCCTGCACAGAGTTTCTGAGGCTGTAAATCTTTACAGGAGCAGGAAGCCTCATCTTTCTCCCATGATACAGCTGGTAGTTTCGAACTGCCGACCTTGAGGTTAGCAGCCCAATTCATAACCACTATGCTACTAGAGCTCCTTAGGGAGGGGAAAGATAAACAGAAGAAGAGAAGGAAAAAATGAAAGCATAGACAGAAATGATTAAAAGCAACAGAATATAAAACAAGGAAGAATAAACAAATACAACCCAAGAAAAGAAGACACCAGGGCAGATGGCAGACCCAGCAGGCAGGAGAAAACCAGGGGCTTCTGCTAGTTATTGGAACCACGTGGTGGGTGGGCAAGGAATGAGACAGGGGCAGTCAGTGCTAGGTGATGTTCCTGTAGGCCTTGGTGTTTTCTTTTCTGGGCACCCAATCTGGAAATAGTTCATGCAGACCCTACAGAAGCTGGGATCAAGGACTTCCATCTGAGAGGATAGCTGGGGGTGAGAGTTCCCAGTAATCCAGAGCTGGCCAGATTTGGCTCTGCAGGTCTGGAGTTGGCCTTAACTGAATCCAGGGTTGGGGTGCATAGCTTCTTACTCACCTTGATGTGGCTCACAACTGTGTAGTTCATCACCATGTAGTTCTGTCCACTGGAGAGCAGGATTTTCGCTGATGGTGTACGTGGGTAGGGACTGGCCATGTCTCTGGGCACCAAGGTAATGTGGGGCACAAGACAATAAACAGTCCTCTTTCTTTCTGTCAGTAACTATTATGGCTCTGCGCCACCAAGCTGCCCACGAAAGTTCAAAGTGGCCACTGTGCACTTAGTCAGCCAGTACAGATCACCTGTCTATCTCTCTCTTCTTTTTATCCCTTGTGGTAGCTAGTCCAGGGCTTGCCAGGGCCACTTCTACAATTTGGAGCAGGGCTCATCTGAATCCAGGTGCCGGGGTTTTGTGTGGATAGTGCCCAACTCACTTTGATGGGGCTCACAATTACTAGGCTTCCCAGTGTGAGGCTTTGACCCTGAGAAAGTGGGAGCTTCCCTGGGGCTGTATGTGGTGAGGGAGTGTGGGAAACAATAAAAAATTACACCTTTATCTCTTCGAGTCACCAGGATGCCTCTGGACTACTGAACCACTGTCTTGTCTCTAAAGTTGCTTCCAGAAGTTTGAGATGACTGTTTCTTGTCTGGTCCCCTGGCATAGGTCTGAAAGTCTGTTGAGCTTTTGCTGCTAGTCAGCATTTAGTCCACTTCTCTGTCCCTGTATCTGAAGCTCAGGGTTCCAGCACTATCTTCTGCATCTGTATCTGCTGTAGAGGGTCTGTGCTGCAGTACAGCTTAGTCCACCATCTCACTGCTTCTCTCCATTAACGTCTAATTTCATTTTTCCATAAATGTTTTGAAGCTCCTTCATATATGTGTGTGTATATATATATATATAATTGTTAGGTGCCATCAAGTCTGTTCCAACTCAGTGATCCTCTATAGGGATTCTGAGGCTGTAACTTTTTACTAGAGCATAAAGGCTCGTCTTTCTCCATTGGAGTGGCTGGTTGGTTTGAACTGCCAACCTTGTGGCTCTCAGTTTAGTGCTTATTCTACAACATTATCAGTGCTCCTTTCCTGTATATATAGTATAATATCTGTTACACATAACACTAGATGTTATGTGCCATCTAGGTGGTTTTGACTTGATGTAATTAATAATTCCATGTAAGGTTTCTGATGCTATAAATCTTTGTGGGAGCACAAAGTCTCCTCATTCTCCCACTTGCTGGCTTTCTGTTTAGCAGTCCAACATTTTCCTACAGAGCCACTGTGTTCCAAACATTATACTATAATATATGTCATACTTGTATATATAGAATTATATATGTGTGTGTATATATATATATAGTTGCTGTTGTTAAGTGATATTGATTTAGTTCTGACCCAGCGACCCTGTATAAGGTTTCCAAGGAACAGTTGTTGGGTTTAACCTTGCAGGTAGCAGTTTAGTGTTTATCCTACAGCACCACAGTATTATGCGTATTCATAGTATGCTATATGGGAATCGTGGTGGATCTTTAGGATAAACACTGGACTGCAAACCACAAGGTTGGTTGTTGAAGCTCACAGATCACTTCAAGGGAGAAAGATGAGGCTTTCTGCTTTTGCCAAGATTTTTAGCCTCAGAAACCCTGTACAGTGCCACTATGAGTCTGAACCAACTCAATGGTACTTAACAACAACAAAAGCAATAAGTATGCTAGACATCTTTTTAATTGTATCATATTTGTTGTTGTTGTTGTCAGGTGCCATCGAGTCGGAACCGACTCATAGCGACCCCATGCACAGCAGAACGAAACAATGTCCGATCCTGGGCCAACCTCACTACCGCTGCCACACTTGAGTCCATCAATGATGCCACCTGGCTGATCCATCTCGTTGGGGGTCTTCCTCTTTTTCTCTGACCCTCCACCCTACCCAGCATGACATCCTTCTCCAATGATTGTTTCCTCCGGACAATATGTCCAAAGTAGGAGAGACGAAGCTTAGCCACCCTGGCCTCCAAGGAGCACTCTGGCTGCACCTCTTCCATAAGAGATCTATTGGTTCTTTTGGCAGTCCAAGGCACTTTCAATATTCTCCTCCAACACCACAACTCAAAGGCATCAATTCTTCTACGATCTTCTTTATTCACTGTCCAGCTTTCGCATCCATATGAGGCTATTGAAAACACAATGGCCTGGGTCAGGCGCACCTTAGTCCTCAAGCTGACATCTCTGCTCTTCAATACTTTAAAAAGTTCCTGTGCAGCAGATTTGCCCAGTGCAATACGTCTTCTGATCTCTTGACTGCTACTTCCGTGAGTGTTGATAGTTGATCCAAGAAGAATGAAGTCCTTGACAACTTCAATCTTTTCTTCATATCTTATATGTATCATATTAGTCAGAGTAAAAAAATTGTAATACTTCTTTGTTGTTGTTAGGTGCCATTGAATTGGTTCTGACTCACAGTGACCTACCTTATTTATGCACAACAGAACGAAACATTGCCTGGTCCTTGGCCATCTTCACAATTGTAGTTACGTTTGAGACCATTGCTGCTGCAGTATTTTTTTTAACACAGTCTAGTCTGACATGTTGTTGGAGGAATTTTTGCAGACAGCTTGCTTCTATAAATTAACTATTAACATATTAAAACATAGACTTAGTTATTCCCTGCCTTCTACAGAATAACGCTGAGTCACTTTGGCTTCTATAAACTTTATTGATGTGAAAATAAATTGTCTTCCAGGAACAAGATAATGCGGTACAAAATATGCACAAGAAAGTTGAAAAGCTGGAGGGAGAACACATGGAGTGCTCTGACCTCTTACGGAGACAAACCAGTGAACTGGACTTCAGTACTCAACGTGAAGAACGCCTGAGAAAAGAATTCGAGGTGCATTTTCTCCCTCTGTATAATCACACATATATGTCATCCTTCCCATAATTTAAGGCTAGAGAAAGTTTCATTCTGCAGCAAGAACTTAAAGTTAATATTGAGGGGGGGCATTGATTTATGTTGAATATTTGACTTCTTTGAAAAATATTTGAATCTGAGTAGTTTCTTTTGTATTTTACTTCCTTATTTTTTAAATGTTTGTAATTTGACAGTTCTGATGGCATTTAGGAACTTTGAGGGTAGCTGATTACACGATATGGTTGAGGAAGCAACCCAGGAAGATATTTAGTGTATAAAAAGGTCAAAAGTGAAAAAAGGTATTGAATTCTAATTTGTTGTTTGAATCATGTGTACTTTTTTTTTTTTTTTGCCTGGAATCCTTTCTGTATAAGACTTAGATGAAAAAGGAACATTAATTTATAAATGAAAATATGCCTTTGTTTTGAATGAGTGAATGATATTGGTAATTACCTTGAGAGATATCAAATTTATTTGTTAATTTTTCAGGTTTTGAAAAATGTCCTTGTTCTTTGTAGAGAAATGAAATATTTCAATAGATCAAGCAGGTTTCGAATGTAACAATTTCTAACCATTATTAGGTAAATAAGTATTTATGAAGAGTATTTAAATAATTTAAATAGTAAAGTATTTATGAAGAGTATTTAATGATAAAATAGTGACTGTTGGCTTACAGTGTTCTTTTGGGAATCTTTATTACAGAAGAGTAGTGACGGGGATTTACGTTACTGGACGGTAATATATTCTAGAAAGCAATGTATCTTTATAGTCTACTTCTAAGAATTGTACAAATAGGCACATTATAATCTATGAGCCTTCATATGTAGACAACTTTCAAAACTTTGCTAAGGGAATATGTTTTGTATTGAGTATTTGACCAGATGGTGACATAATGGATGAGCTGTTAAATTTCTTAGAGTGCATTTTCTGTTAGTTTTATTTATAGCACTGTAACAGAAATTCCACAAATGAATGGCTTTAACAACCAGAACTATATTCTCTCTCAGTTTAGGAGGCTAGAAGTCCAAATTCAGAGCACCTGCTCTTGGGAAGGCTCCCTCTTTGTTGGTTCTAGGGAAAGGTTCTTGCCTCTTTAAGCATCTGTAGGCCCAGTAGTCCTTGTGTTCTCCATGTGTCTTGGCACCAGTTTACCCTGAATCTGTAGGCCTGGTATTCTTTGATGTTCTCCATGTGTCTTACCAGTTTCCCCTGAATCTTGGAGCTACACAGTGCAGGGAACCCAGGTCTAAAGAATGAACTCCCCTCCTCTCTCTCCTTTCGTGGTGGTTGTACCCCTCCCTTTCTGCTTACTTCTGTCTCCTTTTAGGTCTCAAAAGAGATTGATTTAAGATACAACCCAGTCCTGTAGATTGCATTCAACATCATTAACATCTGAAAAGTGAGGATTTACAGCACACGGAGTAATTTCACCAGGTCAGGGCCTATATTCCAGCGACCATGCTATGATTCCATTCTATTAGATCTCTTCACGGACCATTATTACATCGTAACTACTAAATTCTGGCCCAGTCAAGTTGACAAAACCTTAACTATCACAGTATATAACCCTCTGACTAATCTATGAGCCTTTATATATAGACAGTTTTGAATATTGAATATCATTTGTATCAACTGTTTGACCAGATAGTGACATAATAGATGAGCAGTTAAATATCTGTAGTGTATTTTATACTGGCTTTACATGCCACAGTGGAACCATTAGCTACTGGAAATTCTAGGTACCTTTTTTTTTTTTTTAAAGGATTAGGTTAAGATAGGATAATAATAAAGAGGAAAACTGCTGAGTTTTTAATTTAATACAACACATTATTCTATATTAGTAATATCAGACTAAACAACTAACATGATAGACATCTAGCCTTGTAAATTAAAAAAAAATTTAGTGAAGCTTTTTAACACTTGTTTTTCATGAAAAGGTGATTTTTCTATGTGCCTGCCAAAGGGGTTTATATATATATATTTTTTATTTGATAAGCTGTATGCTATTGTGTAGCTTAATCATCTTAACACGAATCAATGGTTTCTTAGATTAAAAAAAAAAAAAAGAAAAGATGCTACCCAATCCAATTTTATAAATGTGGTGCTGGATACCACAGGACCATGGGAAATGTGAACTGGAAAAAAAATATCCATGGTTTTTATAAACCTCTTTACAACTAGGGGAGTTTATTATCATGGGAAATAAGCTTAACTCAATAAGAAAAGAGAAAAGAGAAGATGCAAACCTAATTCTGAGAGAACTGAAGAAACCCATGAAGATTATGGTGGAGAGAGAGCAGTCTTGATAAATACATTCTGAATTGCTTCTGTCAATCACCTTCTATATTACAGTAACACGAAGAAGAGTAGAATGTAGCTTTTCTCTCTAAATGTATGCTGACCCAACTGAATATAGAAAAAAATGTTTCTCACTTTCTTAATTGTCCAAGAAGGCAACCTCATGTAGTTAATCTCTTTATAGCTATAGTCCCATTTGTGTTGATTATTAATTATAAAGTAATTAATGATGAAATCACTACCTACTTTATAAATATGGCGTATTTGTAAATGTTATTAATTTAAATGTAACTTTTTCTATTCATAATGTATTTAAAAAATTTAAGTTCCTTTAAAACTGTGTTAACTACTGCAGTGTTATTGCCAGAAAACATAAAGACGATTTTTAAAAAAACAAACTTAATTTATTACTTGTTCAGAATTTGTTATCTATAAATTCTGTTCTTGAAATGTCTAGTTTTTATTATCGGTGGTTTCTTGTATTATACCTGACAGTAATAAAGCATTTTTTTAAACCATGAGTTGGGTGACAGTTTACAGAACAAACTGGCTCTCCCTTCAGCAGTTCATACAGTTTGTTTTGTGACACTGATTCCAGTCCTAAATGCAGCAGCACTCTTGTCACTTCCTCCTGCATCACCATTCTGTTTGTCCTCCTTTCTTATCTCTTCCTACTCTGAGCTTTGTCTCTGGACAAATGCCACCCTTTTGATTTCAAGTGCTTAATCGTTCTAATAAATGCATACCTCCCTGATGTTATTGTTCATCTTAAATGTTTGCCTTTTAGCTGAAAATTGATGCACAGGGATAAGCTCAGTTCTGGGCCTGAAGGGTGTCTAATGGCCATAGTCTCAGGATAAAGCTTCTTTTAAAATTCACCTGTTTCATAATCTGCCTGCATGATCTACCTCATTATTTATCCCTTGTCGAAAAGAAAGATGACTGTGTCCTCCAGGTTATTCCTGTAGTTATTTCAGTGTGTTCATACGTCTGTTAAGGCTCTGATTCTTGCCATCCTTTGTGACTTCAAAATTGCACAACCCCACCTTCACAATTACACAGTTAACCATGGTCAAGATGACTGCACACAGCTCTTACGATTTATGCATTTGGCTCTTCCTTATTTTTAAAGACTAAGTTAAGTGGGCCTGTTTTCATAAGATAATCTAGAAGATTCTGAAAACAAATATGATAATCATTAAAAAGGTTACAAATAAATAGTAATTCACAGTAGAGAAAGGCATATAGTGACCTTCCATCCTTGACAGACAGGTCTTCCCCTGAGTACCTAGAATGCAAATGCTTTTATGTGTCAGAACTCCTCAGGCTTTGGAATAATGGCTAAAGACCTAGCATGGTATCTGACATATGTTCTTGGTTGCTCAGTACCATCAAGTCAATTCTAACTCTTAGTGATGCTGTGCACAACAGAAGGAAACACTTGCCCAGTCCTGTGCCATCCTCACAATTGTTGTTACACTTGAGGCCATTGCTGCTGCCACTGTGCAATCCATCTCATTGGGGGACTTCTTTTTTGCTGACCCTCCACTTTACCAAGCATGATGTCCTTCTTCAGAGACCGATCCCTCCTGATTACATGTTCAAAGTATGAGAGACAAAGTCTTACCATCCTGGCTTCTGAGGGTGGCATGCCAGCCTGTGCTTCTTCCAACGCAGTTCTGTTTGTTCTTCTGTCAGTCCGTGGTCCCTTCATTATTCCTCTCTGACACTATAACTCAAATGCATCAATTCTTCTGCATTGTCCAACTTTCACATGCATATGAGGCTATTGAAAATTCCATGGCTTGGGGCAGACGTACCTTAGTCCTCAACTGATATATTTGCTATTGAGTATTTTAAAGAGGTCTTGTGCAACAGATTTGCCTGTTGCAATTTGTCATTTGATTTCTTGGTTGCTGCTTTCAGGAGTGGTGATTTTGTGTCCAAGCAAATGAAGTCTTTGACAACTTCAGTTTTATATTTGTTGTTGTTGTTAAGTGCTGTCGAGTCGATTCCGACCCATAGTGACTCTGTACAGGGTTTCCGAGGCTGTAAATCTTTATGGGAGCAGAAAGCCTTATCTTTCTCCTGCGGAACAGCTGGTAGTTTCAAATTGCTGACCTTAAGGTTCGCAGCCTGATTTGTAACCACTACGCTACCAGAGCTCCTGGTATCTTTATTTAGCATGATGGTATTTATTGGTCCAGGATTTATTTATTGTGATGATTTTTGTTTTCTTTATGTTGAGGTGCAACCCACACTGAAGACTGTAGTCTTCTATATTCATCAGTAAGTGTTTTAAGTTCTCTTTGCTTTCGAAAGCAATATTGTATCATCTGTATACTATGATGCAATTATAATTGCTAATGAGATGATACAATATTGTTAATGAGATTTCCCCCAATCCTGATGCCACATTCTTCATTTAATCAAGTTTCTTGGATGATTTGCTTAGCATACAGATTGAATAAGTATGGTGAAAGAATACAAGCCTGGTACATACCTTTCCTGACTTTGACCATCCAGTATACCCTTGTTCTGTTTGAACTACTACCTCTTGGTCTGTGTTGTTGTTTGAACAACTACCTCTTGGTCTATGATGTTAAGTGCCTTCATGTTGGTTCTGACTCATAGTGACCCTGTATAGGGTTTCCAAGGAGTGACTGGTAGGTTTAACCACC